GTATAAATATCATATTAATAAAGAATATATACAATATTAATATAAAAATAAGCCCTTATATTAAGGGATTAATATACATCTATTCACCATATAGTTAAAATCTTACTTAAAATAAAAAAATCATATTGAATTCAATCTTACTATAACTGTATTATTATCAAAATAATAATTACAAATTAAAATATACATAAATTAAAATTTACATATTTACAATATGAACTTTGGATATACCCAGGTACTTTTTATGGGATCTGTGCCCCGCATAAACTGCCTCAAAATCATCAAGAGTGTTAATAAGTACAAATAAAGGTGTTTCATTGTTATCTGTCGACTACCTTATACACTCACAATTAACCTATGATAACTCTTGTAATTAGTAACAGTAAAGCTGCATAGGGTCTTCTCGTCTACCTAGAAGTAAGCAGTATCTGCACTGCTATTCCAATTTCACTGAGACAATCATCGAGACAGCTGTTGTATCGTTAAGTCATTCATGCAAAGACCGCATTTAACGGCCAAGGTATTCCGCTACCTTAGGACCCTCATAGGTAAGGCCGCCATTTATCGGGGTATCCTTCAAAACCTTAAATATACATCAAGGAAAATCCGTTATCCAGCCGACATTGGGCAGACATCACACTCAATACTTAGATATTTTATCTTGGCAGAGTGCTTTGTTTTTATTAAACAGTCGTACAACACTATTATGTGCCTCCTCTTCCTATTAATTTAATAATTATCCAATATAACTTGTTATATTGGTTAAATTAATAAAAATGGCTCTCCTTATCCCGAAGTTACGGAAGTCAATTTGCCGAGTTCCTTAATGATTGTTCACTCAAACGCCTTTGTATACTCTACTTGCTTACTTGTGATAGTTTTTAGGTACGGTTTTTAGTAAATTATTTTTTTTTAGTAAAACATTTCCAGAACCTTTACTACTTTATAAAGGTCTTTATATTACTAAGAAAGTTATATACTTCCTTACTTTACTATGATCATCATAATTATCTTTAGATAAATTATTTAGATACCGAAAATTAAGTTTATCCCATAAGCTTAAGGCGAGGTAAGTCCTTTTTCGTTACTCATGTCAGCATTGTCTCTCGGAATATAAACATGATGTAAACCTGGTGTATACATTACAAGGTGTTAATAGTTAAATTTTATCTTAAATAAAAATACCTAATATCTAATAATGAAATAAAATAAAATAAAATTAATCATTTTATTTATTCATATATTAAGATTAGAGTATCATTAACACTGTTACACTTATATATTCTATAAAAGAATATACATAAAGTTACATATCCGATGTTCCGCTACCTCACAAATTATGTGTACAAAGTTTCGGTATATTATTTAGATCCTTTATATTTTTGGTATTTTTTCCTATTAATATTAATCAGTGCTCTGTTACGAGATCTTCAAAAAATGGCCGCCTCTAAGCCTATTTCCTGATTGTTTTTGAAAAAAACATCCTTAATTTCACTCAATAATAACTTTGGAACCTTAAACTTTTGTTTAGGGCTGTTTCCCTTTAGACATACAACCTTATCATACTATGTCCGATTACTCAATATTTATCTTTGCCCTTCCGAGTGCAAATACTCTCCGATAAAATCACTACAATCCCCCGATGTAAACAAAATATTATATTTAATATTGTTCGAGATCACAGTTCTGTACCTACTAAGATATAAATTGAATTACCTACTAACATAGGTTTCGCGGAAAACCAGCTATACTAGTCTGTTTTGTCTTTCACTAACTTACCACAATTCCTCGGATATCTATACAACGATAACCCGTTCGGGCTTTTATAACCCTGATCATGGTAAGATCACTAGCCTTCGGGTCTAATTCTAGATACTTATCATTTTTTCATAATTGGTTTATCTTCGTGTTCGAGTTTATAATTACCCAAAACCACTTGCATCTAAAATTAACTTGCTGACCCATTATGCAAAAGGTATACTCTTATTTTTAATTTTAATTTTTACTCGAGCTGCTTATAAAATTACTATTTCTTATATTTACCTCACGGTACTATTCACTATCGCTTATATATTATATTTAGCCTTAGAGGAAGGTTCCCCTTTATTCAAAACAGAATACATCCATTTTACTTATTATTATTATTATAATTACTTATAATAATTATAAGGCTATTATTTATCTTTAATTAAAATAATAAATAATCTCGTTTGATTTTTTTTCCTAAAGTTACTGAGATATTTCAATTCACTTTGTTTAATATTAGATTTCTCTTAGAATTTAGTATCATAATTATTATCTATCTACATTGTATTAGAATTTAGTACCTAATACATAAGCCATCACTAATCTTCTTTAATATACAGCTTTTATATCCATAATAATTTCTTTTGATACATAAATAAGATATGAAAGAAATATGGAAATTTCATAGCTATGTTATAGCTATATTGTAATATACATTTAAGTTAAGGGATTATTATATATATAAATAATCATTAACTTAAATTCAGAGAGTATATGATTCGAACATATGAAAGTTTTACCCTTAACTAGACTCAAGCTAGTCGCCTTAAACCACTCAGCCAACTCTCTATGATTCTTCAGTGAATCGAACACTGAACATATTCTTATCAAGAATACACTTTACCAATTAAGTTAAAGAATCTTATACTTTTTTACTTAAAAAGTAATATTAATTATTACTTTTTAAGTAAAAATTTTTACAAGAG